TCATCTTTACAAGTTTTAAAATTTTATTTTTTAAAAATAAGCCAATGTAATTCTAGATGAAAGTGAAATGTCTATACCAATGCCAACTCCATGGCTCCTGTTTCTGTGTGGGCTGCTTGCCTCCTACTATCCCTCTTTCCTTCTCAGAGAGGAAGTGTCCATCTGAGGACAAAACCATAGGCTGAAATAAAGGTACAAACTAATATCAATTGTTGATCAGCTGAGAGATCCTAATGACTTCCCCTAAACACTTTTACTTTACCCTCCCACACTTTCCAAATGGAGACTGAACTGATCTGCTTCCATACCATGTGAGGTCATACCAGGTCTTCCCTAAACCCAAGAAAGAATGTAGGCTTGGGGTCAGCTCTCAACCATGAGCAAATTAGGTATGCTCTTTGTGCCTCAGTTTCCCCATGTGTAAAACAGGAGTCAAACTACCTCCTTTAGGGATACTGAAGGATAAATTAAGTTATAATGAGATAATCTACCTAAGGAATTTTAGAAGACTAGCACACAGTAAACATTAACTACATTCCTTTGGCTACCCAACTTAAACACACACACACACACACACACACACACACACACGCATAGGGGATGCTAAATTTCTGCCAACTGCCTCCTGGTCTGTTATTATCTTTAAGAATGTTGGCTTGGCTCCAGATTTCAAATTGTTAGAGACCATTTTTCAAGTTTTCCATCAGTAGCTTTTTCTCAAACTCCAGCTTCAGTCTTGTGTTCATGGAAAGGGAATGGGCAAGTATGCTGAAACTATTTTATTTCCCTTACCAAAGTGCTATAAATTCCCGGATTTCTCCATTGATCAATTCATAGAGAAACTTATTGACCCTTAAGTCTAAGCTTAGACAAGACCTCCACTAACATTTTCAAAAGGAAAACAAGGCATACACACACACACACACACACACACACACACACACACACACACCACAAATGTAGAAATAGTTGGGCAAAAACAGTTCAAGTTTCATAAATTATAGTCATCAAGTATTGGTTGCTACTATGAAGAAGACTCCTTACCTTTTGTCTTTGATATGACCTCAGTAAATGACAGTCAAAGACTCACAACTCCATAGCAGGTTTGAGTTGATAAGCTGAGTAAACATGGATCCCTCTGAGCACCTTCTTCTCCAGCTAGGGGCTCTCTTCCATTACTTCTTGTTCAGGTCTGCCAGGTCTACCCTCTTCTGATTCCTTAGGTGACAGGGACACATTCTGCGGATGTCTGGGCTTTGAGCTTCTCCCTTTACTTTTTTTTTTTTTTTTGTAGTTTTCCATGGTTCCTAATTCTATCTCTGTTCTTGATCCATTCCTGTCCTGCCTGTTTTATTTCTGTGAAGTTTTTGTTTGGCTGAAGCTATGTACACCAGCCACAAATTAACGCTGTTTTCACCCTTCTCTAAAGCTCCTAGTCTTCATCCATCATCCTAACATGGCAGTTGAGTCTAGCCTCTATGACAGCCACATCTTTCTCTGGGGTCCGCCTGCCTTATATCACCTCCTTTCAAATCTTAAGCTTCCTTAGGACCACCCTTTGGGTTCTTGTTTCCTGTGACCTAATTCGTTGTGAGATAATTTACTGGGAGCTGATTTGCTGAACAGAAATGATCGACAGCTCCTTTGCTCAATCACTGATCAAATCTCTTCTGCTTCAGTTTTTCAACACTCCCCACTTCCTCAAATTCCCTTTGTTGACTCATTCCTCTGGAGGCCATAAGGATCTTCCGGATTTCTGACATCAGTTTTACAGAATCAAACATATTATGTATATACTATTTTCCACATATAATATGGAAAAAGATATCATTTCCAACTAAAGAATCAGATTCCTTGTGGGTTGGCGAAACGCTTGATTAAACAAGAGAGATGATTTATTTGCTTCTTCTATGGTTTCTGAGGCAATGGATTGGATATGTCATTGTTTTAGTCAATCCCAATCAATTTTTTGCTTCTAATTGTAACCAATTTGCTTAAAAAGCAACAGCCAAGGTCCCAATATTGTTCAGGTAATGGTGTATACAGAATGTCATAATTGTACTACAGCCAAAGCCATGCAGGTATATTAACCCCTAAGGCTCTCTGCCTTCTCCAGGCCACACACTGTCACCCTGAGAACAGTGGGAATTACTGTCTCAGCACATCCTTAACACGTTCTACTCAGACTCAAGCCTAGGGAAGCATTCCTGAGGTTTCCAGAGAAAGTAACTTAATTTTATATGTATGTCACTGTCCTTAAAGCTTTCTCTAGCCAACCTCCTGTCCTCAAGTCTGCAAAAAGTCTCAGTAGAACCCTTTGCCTTTCCAAGTACATTCAGGCATGCCATCATTTCCCCAAAAAAAATTGAAATAAAAAATCAAAATATAATCCCCCACCCATTTCAAAACTTCTCCCAACTTGGCCCCAAACCAGCAGGGCAGGAGACTGGGCTCTCTTTCTCTTCTTGTTCTACCTTTCTCTGTCTTCCTACTCCCACTGCTTCTGGCTTCCTGAGATGAGGTTAAGGGAAGGAGAAAAGTGCCAAGAGTTTACTCAGCTAGTGCGCTTGATATTTGGGTTGGTGCCGTTGGTGTAGCAGACATTCCAATGCCAGCTCTTACTCTGTGCATCTCATACAGCTTCTTTCATTTAACTCACACCTTTCTCAATTGGTGGAAATGCAAGTCACTCTCTGGCCTTCCCATCCTCGGCTTTTTCATTACAGGTGGCCTTAGTGCCTCTTGGATAGAGGTGCACAGGATGAGCTCTTTCTAGATTACTCCAGACCCCTGGGTGGTACTGGGGCTGTGAATTTCCCATTCTCAGAGCCCCTTAATTGACTCACAGCCAATATCATACATGTATCAGGATGAAAAAAAGAAATCAGGACATTATGAAGAATGGTTGCTCACAAACTCAGTAAGGGATTTTTGTTTCTTTAATTTTTAAAGATTAAAACAAAGATCTTATTTATTTATTTATTTTAACTATCAGCAATTATTACTGACAGGCTCCAATTAGTATTCACTGAAGTCTCTCACTGAAGGAAGTATACTGCTATTTTCAACACCACTGCCCAAGTCTGAATGGAATCCAGTGCATCTCTTTGTGTTGTTTCAGCGGTACCAGCGAGCAGTGACTATCTCCTCACATAAAACTTTCCCCAGAGTCCAGGGTAGGCCTTTTACTATTATTTGTGCCCTGGATGCTGCAGCCTGTCTTGTAACACATCATCAGAGTCCCTCAAGACTCTCAAATGGTTATATTTCAAATGAGGGAATTTTAATGCCTTCCAGGAAAATGTGTATGTTTTTCTTAGACATACTACTAAATCCCATGCAATATATTGAATGATCTGCTTAAAGATGTTTGGGCAGTACATTTCCTTAGAGGGCAGCCTGCCACATTCCTTACCTATGAGCAAAGATTTCAAGGTGGCATGGAGAGGCAGTGCCTAGTCTTCTGTCCCCTCATGCCAAGTTTCCTCCCATTGACACTCTGCTCACACCTGCTGGGAACGTGTGGAATGGGATCCCACTATCACCAAGACAGAACTGATGCCAATATCTAGGGAATAGGAGGAATGACACTTTTATACTTTCTCTGAAACTCCTGCTGTAGGGCCATTTTGAAATATTATAGATCCAGCTATCTAATATATAAAGAGGTGGAAAATATAAGACAAAACATAAAACAATGATCCCCCAAAAAATTCCGACAAAAAAATCCCACCCACCCACCCACCCCCAGAATTGGGGGACAAATTTCCTCATAAAATTTTGTACTGTGAGTGATGTCAGAGGAAAAATTCTACTAGAGGCCATTAAAACCATGTAGAATGTTATAGAAATGAATCATTTAGTATGTCACTTTTAGAGACTGACTTTTCTCATTCACTATGATGTCTTAGAATTCATTCAAATTGTTGTGTATTAATATAGTTTGTTCTTTCTTATTTATGGGTAATATTCCATTGTATAGATAGATGAATCTTTTTTCCATTCACATGTTGAAAGACATTAGGCTTAATTGGAGTTTTTGACAATTCTGAATAGCTATACATTATTTTATGGGTTTATATTACATTTTATATTACATAGGTTTTCTTTTTCTAGGAAAAGGTTTTTTAACCTTAGCACTGATATTTTGTGCTAAATAATTATTTGTTGGGGGGTGATTTTCATGCACATTATTGTATGTTTAACAACATAGTTGGCCTCTACCCACTAGATGCTAGTAGCATAACATCTCATATTTGCGACCAAGGAACAGTATTTCAGGATATAACCCTAAGGGACAAAATCACTTCCTCTGAGATCCACTGCTTTATGGTAGATACCCCAGAGTGGGATTTTTGAGTCTGTGATGAGTGTATGTTTGATTTTATAGGAAATTACCATGCTCTTCCCGAGTGTCTACCATTTTGCATTGCCATCAGCTTCCAGTTGTTCCACATCCTCTGCAACATTTGATAGTACTCCAGAGTGAATTCCCATGGACCTTAGAATGGAGTTAATTTCTTCCTTGGCTACTATGGCCTTTAACTCAGGACTCAATTAGAGACTTCTCCTCCCTTCCCCAATGTGAGACTATACTGTATGGTGTCACTAACCCCAGGGGATCACCCACCCCCAAGAGGAGGGAAATGTGAATCAATTGCCCACTGGGACCCCCAGGGTCTCCATGGACTCCTTTGAGTAATTGATTCTTTAGGGCCAAGAGGAAGTGCCACACGCCCTTGGGTTTTCTAGGGTCTCTTGGTGGGAAAAGTTCAGTTTTTAGTCCAAGGCTTAGAAATCCATATGTCAACAGCTTTTGCTGAAGAAGAAGGTTCTCTAGGGCCTTTTAAGCTCTTCCCAACACCCATGTCCCTTCAAAATTAGCCAGAACAAAAGACAAGTTATAGTTATCTGCCTTATCAGAGGAACCTGACACCTCAGTTTCCAAGGTCTTAACATACAGTGTCATATCTCAGAACACTCTTCTTCTGGGGGAATTAACTCAAGGGATCTGGGCTCACTGGGCTAAGGATCAGGCTTATGAGGACTCTTCTTGTTAAGGAAGAGGTTCTGGAGGATCCCTATCTCCAGTTCAGCCTGGATGTATCACTTTTTACTATTTCTTTCAGGAGCAACAGAGAGGTGATGGCAGAACAGGGACTTTTGCCATTCTGCTAACTTCTTTCCAAGTTGTTAGGGATAAGGTCAATTTTAGATTCATGTCAGTATGACACTATCACTTAGCTACCTAATCGAAAGTTCTTGATCTTATTTACATCTATGTATTCAGTTTCATCTGATTCCCAAATAACAATTTTCTCAGTTTACCCCCATCTGGCTATGTCTTAGTTGTCCTCTCCCTGCCTCTACAAGTCAGTTTGCTTGGACCTCCAGTAGTCTCCATTTATTTTGCACCCACAGCCCCTGACTTTAAAGAAGCTGTGTTCATGAATTCCAAGGTTTCAACAAGGGATATTGGAGTCCCTGAATCATCTGAGTTCACAGCATCAAAAGGAGGGTGCTAATCTTGGGGAAGAAGGTTTTGTTGTTTTTAATTCTATACATGCTTTTTCTTAAAAGGGGCTGAACTGGGCTGGGGCTGGGGCTCAGCGGTAGAGCGCTCACCTTGTACGTGCGAGACCCTGGGTTCAATCCTCAGCACCACATACAAAAATAAACAAGTGAAATAAAGGTGTTGTGTCCAACTACAACTAAAAAATAAATATTAAAAAAGGGGGCTGAACTTGGCAGCTAGAAATGATAGCACTTTCTTAATTTTTATGCTCTAATCAAGAGAAAAATTGAGAGCTTTTAGAAATCCCAGGTCCTCCTTCATAGGTTATGATGAACCATTTTTCACAATGTCTTTCTTTGGTAGTTTTGGATGTTCTCTTGAGTGGCTTGTGTTCCTTCTTTGCAGAGGGAAGCAGCTATGGAGAACTGATGCTTGTAAGGAATGGTTTTAAGATCATTCTTGTCAGAAAATACCACTGTCTTGGAATTTTTTTACAGGCAACAAAGAGGTTGTTTCCAGCTGTAGTCCAGTGGAACAAAATTTGATATACTGGGTACTATGGTTCAGACACTTGGGATTTTTCTTTTTCTCTGGGACCTCTTGAGCCCAGATTGAGCTTTTAATTCACTAAACTGTTGTCCAGGTAAAAGGGTTTAGTTTTTTCTCTCTTGACATTTCATGCCTGTATCCATTGACTGCATACTGCTCTGGGAGCAGAGAGCAGCCATCTTGTCAGTGTTAAGAACTGTCAAATTCTGGAACTCTTCCTTCTCAATTTGATAACTTGATAACACTAGTCTGGATGTGTTACTCTGCTTGAAATGGTCCACATTGAGGAGAAGGTGATGATGCAGAGTTAGTAGAATTTCCTGCAAGTGGGAAATGTTCATTAACTTTGCATGCTTTTCCATTTATCTGTATCTTCTTTAATTTCTTTAATCCATTCAGCACTGTATAACTTTTGATGGGTAAGTTTAATCCATTTATGCTTAAAGAAATTGTTGATATGTGAG